TCCAGGACGCGTGGGAACCCTGTTGGAGTAAACTGTCCTGGTTGGTCTTTAGAAAGGACAAAAACAGTCCTGTTCTCCTGCTGCCAATTTTCATCTGTATGAAATCTTCATTTCTAAATATTATTTTTGCAGTTTAAATCAGAACTAGTTTCTTCTTTAGAGTTTTGATCTGCAATAAAATCCATCAACCTGCCGCTGACCTCCATTCTTCTCTGCTGGGAAAAGACCTTTTCTTCATAAACAGACTGACTCGCCTCGTAGTGACCCCACAGCTCCACCCCAACCATACAGGACACTGTAAGAAACACTATAAGCAGAGATAACTATAAGTGGACACTGCTGTATTAACAATGACAATATAGTTTAAATAATATAAACATACGTTTTAACAGTTGCTATATAATTATAGTGTGTTATAAAGCCTGTATTCAGTGTTTACAGTCTTCCTTCACGTGCAGCTCCTGTGTGTGTGAGTGAATGAATGTCTTTAATTACAGCTGTGTGTTTGAGCAGCCTGCAGTCAGAGCTCAGATCTGGGTTACACTGATGGGAGGTGGAGGTTGGGGGGATGTGTGCTCCCTAAAAGCCTCCCTGCGTGTTAACACCGGCCATTAGCTCTCTGTTTAAACCTTTATGACAGCTTACTCCGGGCTCTGCTCGGCCATCTGGAGGTTTCTGTGTCACTCGATGGCGACAAATCAAGATCGAGGATCGAAGGTGAGCAGACAGAAACGCCTTTTTCAGGAATCCATGTCCGATTTCCCTGTTTGGGCTTATTGTTTGTTTATGTTATTCACATCATTGTTAAGTGCAGGCACAAATAAAGTTCTTTATTCCTTATTGTCGCCTTTTCCTGTCCGTGTTAACACTGAGAAGGAGTGTGTGTTACCTTTCTGCAGGAAGCGGAGCAGGGGAAGTGCAGGAGCCTGTGTTTGTTGATCTGGAGGTAATGCACATTGACAGCCCGACGGGTGGAGACAGGGTGTGTGCAGAGAGAGAGAGAGA